TACAGGATTTATATTATTATTATTATACAGGATTTATATATTATTATTATTATTATACAGGATTTTTTATTATTATTATTATTATACAGGATTTATATATTATTATTATACAGGATTTATATATTATTATTATTATTATTATTATACAGGATTTTTTATTATTTTTATTATTATTATTATTATACAGGATTTATTATTATTATACAGGATTTATATTATTATTATACAGGATTTATATTATTATTATTATTATAACAGGATTTATTATTATTATACAGGATTTATATTATTATTATACAGGATTTATTATTATTATTATTATTATTATTATTATTATTATAATACAGGATTTATATTAATATTATTATACAGGATTTATATTATTATTATTATACAGGATTTATATTATTATTATTATACAGGATTTATGGCGCCAACAGTTTGCTCAGCGCTTTACAATATAACGGGAGACAATACAGTAATTAAATACAGATCCTGGGAGCTTACAATCTAGGATTTTTTTTCTTTATTTTAATATATGTATTATATGTTTCATATATATTATTATTATTACTATTATTATTTTTTATATTATATTACATGTACTTGTATTTTATTTTTTTTTATTATTACAGGTACTTATATAATGCTGTCAATTTACACAGCGCTTTACATATATATTATACATTCCCATCACTCCCTAACCCTCTGTATTCTGATTGGCTGTCACATCACTCTATCCAGGGGATGACAACCTTTAGCACTCTGGCTGTTGTGGAACTACAAGTCTCAGGAGGCATTGTAAGACTCTGACAACCACAGGCGCGACTCCGGGAGGCAGAGGCATGATGGGATTTGTAGTTTCACTGAACAATGCCCACCCCGCTACAATTCTGAACTTTGTTACATTGTTACTCATGAGAAGTACTGACCTCATCCTGGGTGGAGAACACTCCGTACGGCAGATTCTGGAGGGGAAAGTCGCAGTCGCTGGGTACAGGGATGAAGGACATGGCTGACACCGAGACGGCTGAGTGTCACAAAGACTCCCAAACCTTGTCTGATCTCCAACATCTCATTCCAGATGTGTCCCATCAAAGCGTCTGCTTCCTCCTCCCCGTCCAATCCTGGAGAGCCGAGCTCCTCCACCCCACCATTCCACTAATCCAAATAAAAATACATTACACAAATTAAAAAAAAAAAAATATATAAAAAATATATACACACACATTAAAAACAATAAAAAAAAACACAAATACCCTACATAATATAAATAAACAAACACAATTAAAATAAATAAATATTAAATACACACACATTACCCTAATATATATATATATAAAAATACCACACACATTACCCTACATAAATATAAAAAAATATAATACACAAAAATTACCCTAATATATAAAATATATATACAAAACACATTACCCTAAATATATAATATATAAAATAACACAAAACCCTACATAAAAAAAATATACACACATTACCCCTACATATATATATAAAACACACATTACCATATATATATATACACACATTACCCTAATATATATATAAAATTTTTAATTACCCTACATATATATATATACACACATTACCCTACATATATATATATACAACACATTACCCTACAATATATATATATACACACATTACCCTACAATATATATATATATATATACACACATTACCCTACAAATATATATATAAAATAACACACATTACCATAAACATATATATTAATTACACACATTAAACCTACATAAATATATTATATATATACACAAATAAAATATACATATATATATATATATATACACACACATTACCCTACATATATTATATATATACACACATTACCCTACATATATAAATATATATACACACACATTACCCTACATATATATATATATATACACACATTATCCTACATATATATAATATATATATATATTAATATATATATATAAAAACACATTACCCTACATATATACACACATTACTACCTACATATATATATACACACACATTATCCTACATATATAAATATATAATATACACAGATTACCCTATCATATATATAATATATATACACACACACATATACCAAAAACCACTACATTACCCTACATATATATATATACACACACATTACCCTACATATATATATATATGTGCGATTCCCGCACCTCATTCCAATCACACTGCCCGCGATCCATGTGCGATTCCGTCACCACATTCCAATCCCACTGCCCGCGATCCATGTGATATTCCCGCACCACATTCCAATCACCCTGTCTGCGATCCATGTGCGATTCCCGCACCGCATTCCAATCTGTCTGCACTGTGCAATTGCGCATTGAAATTACACTGCCCCGCGATCCATGTGCAATTTCCACACCCATTCCAATCGCACTGCCTGCGATCCATGTGCGATTTCCACACCCATTCCAATCGCACTGCCCGCGATCCATGTGCGATTCCCGCACCGCATTCCAATCGCACTGCCCGCGATCCATGTGCGATTTCCACACCCATTCCAATCGCACTGCCCGCAATCCATGTGCGATTCCCGCACCGCATTCCAATCGCACTGCCCGCGATCCATGTGATATCCCCGCACTGTATTCCAATCACCCTGTCTGCAATCCATGTGCGATTCCCACACCGCATTCCAATCGCACTGCCCGCGATCCATGTGCGATTCCCACACCGCATTCCAATCGCACTGCCCGCGATCCATGTGCGATTCCCACACCACATTCCAATCCCACTGCCCATGATCCATGTGATATTCCCGCACCGCATTCCAATCACCCTGTCTGCGATCCATGTGCGATTCCCGCACTGCATTCCAATCCCACTGCCCGCGATCCATGTGCAATTCCCGTACCGCATTGAAATCACACTGCCCGCGATCCATGTGCGATTCCCACACCGCATTCCAATCGCACTGCCTGCGATCCATGTGCGATTCCTGCACCGCATTCCAATCGCACTGCCCGCGATCCATGTGATATTCCCGCACCACATTCCAATCGCACTGCCCGCGATCCATGTGCGATTCCCGCACCGCATTCCAATCGCACTGCCCGCGATCCATGTGCGATTCCTGCACCGCATTCCAATCGCACTGCCCGCAATCCATGTGCGATTCCCGCACTGCATTCCAATCCCACTGTCTGCGATCCATGTGCAATTCCCGTACCGCATTGAAATCACACTGCCCGCGATCCATGTGCGATTCCCGCACCGCATTCCAATCGCACTGCCCGCGATCCATGTGCGATTCCCGCACCGCATTCCAATCGCACTGCCCGCGATCCATGTGCGATTCCTGCACCGCATTCCAATCTCACTGCCCGCAATCTATGTGCGATTCCCGCACCGCATTCCAATCGCACTGCCCACGATTTATGTGCGATTCCCGCACCGCATTTCAATCCCACTGCCCGCGATCCATGTGCGATTCCCACACTGCTTTCCAATCGCACTGCCCTTGCCATCTGCAGCGGGTGTCAATGCAATCTTAACGACACCCCCAAATGCAGGTCACTAATGCAGTGCGAACACCTGTACAGGATCGCAGGGTACAAAGCGGCCATGTGATCCAGTTGCAGTGCGGTTCCAAGATTGGTGCATGCACGACTTTGGTGCAATGCAGTGCAATTTGAGCCGAGTAAAAATGAACGGCCTCAAATCGCACAGCACTGAATCGCACGTGAAATGTACAGGAATATGATGTACCGCACCGCATTATATGTGAACCCGGGCTAAAAGTGAGATTCAAAACCAAAAATATATATTAAAAATATAAATATGTATCTGCTAATCCGTGTAACATCGCTCCTCCATCCAGAATTCAGACACCCTAATGCCTCATGTACACCGTTGCTCCTAAACGCGTGCTTTTGGCGGGTTTTTTTTGCCAAAGACCCTGAAATCAACTCAATAAAAGTCTGTGTGTCCATTAGGGTGACACCGATACTAAGCCGATACCGATACCTTTGTAGTGCAATCTGAGCCCATACATGTAAGTGAGAGAACTGAAGGTTTGTTGGGTGAGGAGGGGATGTCTCTTTGCCGATCACACAAAGGTGTGTAATTGATATCCCTGGAGGTGTCTGCAACATGGAACAGGATTTGGCGTTGCTGGAAGATTGGTCAAAAAATTGGAAATTGCAATTCAATGTTTCTAAATGTAAAATAATTCACCTAGGGGAAAAGAATCCCTTGAGAGAGAACAATATTGGGGGTGCATTGTTGGCCAGCACTACAGAGGAAAAGGACTTGGGGGTACTTATGTCACATGATTGTAAAATGAGAAAACAGTGTGACCGGGCAGGGGGGACAGTGAATAGAACTCTATGATGCATCACTAGAGGGGTCACCGGCGGGAGGAAGGAGGTCCTGATTCCTCTATATAGATCCTATCTCTAGAGGGGTCACCGGGGGAGGAGGAAGATCCTATCTCTAGAGGGGTCACCGGTCCTGATTCCTCTATATAGATCTCTATATCACTAGAGGGGTCACCGGCAGGAGGAAGGAGGTCCTGATTCCTCTATATAGATCTTTATATCACTAGAGGGGTCACCGGCAGGAGGAAGGAGGTCCTGATTCCTCTATATCAGCGGTTCTCAACCTGGGGGTCGCGTCCCCTTTGGGGGTCGAACGACACTTTCCCAGGGGTCGCCTAAGACCATCGGAAAACACATATTTCCGATGGCCTTAGGAACCGAGACACCGCTCCTTGATCCGTCTGCAGGTGTGGGCGGGATGACATGCCGTCCCTGTCATCTGGACACACCCCCGGGATCAATCCTTCCTCGTCGGTGATTGGCCGCCGGAACTGTAGCTCAAGAGAGGCACACAGGCGGCCAATCACCGGCGAGGAGGTGGAGCTTGTAAAGGAGGAGCCGAGCGGCACCGCGAAGCACGAGCGAGTGAAGAGGAGGAAAGCGGCCGGAGAAGGAAGCCATCTGACCGGTAAGTGTTTGTACCATGGGAGAGGGAGGGAGCGAGCCCAGGCTGGAGCCGGGGTCAGCAAGGTAAGTATCATTGGTGTCAGTGGGAGGAATAGTGCCCAATCATTGGTGTCACTATTACCAATGATGGGGCACTATTCCTCCCCCCACTGACACCAACGATGGGGCACTATTCCTCCCACTGACACCAACGATGGGGCACTATTCCTCCCACTGACACCAACGATGGGGCACTATTCATCCCACTGATACCAACGATGGGGCACTATTCCTCCCACTGACACCAATGTTGGGGCACTATTGCTCCCCCTGATGCCAACGATGGGGCACTATTCCCCCCACTGACACCAATGATGGGGCACTATTCCCCCCACTGACACCAGTGATGGGGCACTATTCCTCCCACTGACACCAATGATGGGGCACTTTTCCTCCCATTGACACCAGTGATGGGACACTATTCCTCCCACTGACACCAGTGATGGGGCACTATTCCTCCCACTGACACCAATGATGGGGCACTATTCCCCCACTGACACCAATGATGGGGCACCATTCCCCCCACTGACACCAATGATGGGGCACTATTCCCCCCACTGACACCAATGATGGGGCACTATTCCCCCCACTGACACCTATGATGGGGCACTATTCCTCCCATTGACACCAACGATGGGGCACTATTCCTCCCCCCACTGACACCAACAATGGGGCACTATTCCTCCCCCCACTGACACCAACGATGGGGCACTATTCCTCCCCCCACTGACACCAACGATGGGGCACTATTCCTCCCACTGACACCAACGATGGGGCACTATTCCTCCCACTGACACCAACGATGGGGCACTATTCCTCCCACTGACACCAACGATGGCACTATTCCTCCCACTGACACCAACGATGGGGCACTATTCCTCCCACTGACACCAACGATGGGGCACTATTCCTCCCACTGACACCAACGATGGGGCACTATTCCTCCCACTGACACCAACGATGGGGCACTATTCCTCCCACTGACGCCAACGATGGGGCACTATTCCTCCCACTGACACCAATGATGGGGCACTATTCCTCCCACTGACGCCAACGATGGGGCACTATTCCTCCCACTGACACCAATGATGGGGGCACTATTCCTCCCACTGATACCAATGATGGGGCACTATTCCTCCCACTGACACCAATGATGGGGCACTATTCCCCCACTGACACCAATAATGGGGCCGTATTCCCCCACTGACACCAATGATGGGGCACTATTCCTCCCACTGACACCAGTGATGGGACACTATTCCCCCACTGACACCAGTGATGGGGCAGTATTCCTCCCACTGACACCAATGATGGGGCACTATTCCCCCACTGACACCAATGATGGGGCACTATTCCCCCACTGACACCAATGATGGGGCACTATTCCCCCCCACTGACACCAATGATGGGGCACTATTCCCCCCACTGACACCAATGATGGGGCACTATTCCCCCCACTGACACCAATGATGGGGCACTATTCCCCCACTGACACCTATGATGGGGCACTATTCCTCCCATTGACACCAACGATGGGGCACTATTCCTCCCCCCACTGACACCAATGACGGGGCACTATTCCTCCCACTGATACCAATGATGGGACACTATTCCTCCCACTGACACCTATGATGGGGCACTATTCCTCCCACTGACACCAATGATGGGACACTATTCCTCCCACTGACACCAATGATGGGGCACTATTCCTCCCACTGACACCAATGATGGGGCACTATTCCTCCCACTGACACCAATGATGGGGCACTATTCCTCCCACTGACACCAATGATGGGGCACTATTCCTCCCACTGACACCAATGATGGGACACTATTCCTCCCACTGACACCAATGATGGGGCACTATTCCTACCACTGACACCAATGATGGGGGCACTATTCCTCCCACTGATACCAACGATGGGGCACTATTCCTCCCACTGACACCAATGATGTCGCACTAGTCCTCCCACTGCAAAATTACAGTTATGAAGTAGCAACGAAAATAATTTTATGGTTGGGGGTCACCACAACATGAGGAACTGTATTAAGGGGTCGCGGCATTAGAAAGGTTGAGAACCACTGGTCTATATAGATCCTATCTCTAGAGGGGTCACCTGGCGGGAGGAAGGAGGTCCTGATTCCTCTATATAGATCCTATCTCTAGAGGGGTCACCAGCAGGAGGAAGGAGGTCCTGATTCCTCTATATCAGTGGTTCTCAACCTGTGGGTCACGACCCCTTTGGGGGTCGAACGACCCTTTCACAGGGGTCCCCTAAGACCATCAGAAAACACATATTTCCGATGTGTAAAGAGCAGCTACTGTGTAGAAAGCAGCTGCTGTGTTGAAAGCAGCAGTATTGGAGGTAAAACGACACTCGTAAATTATAATTACTGGGTAAATAATTTTATGGTTGGGGGTCACCACAACATGAGGAACTGTATGAAAGGGTCCCGGCATTAGGAAGGTTGAGAACCACTGCTCTATATAGATCTTTATATCACTAGAGGGGTCACCGGCAGGAGGAAGGAGGTCCTGATTCCTCTATATAGATCTTTATATTATTATTATTATTATTATTACATCGAGTTTATATAGCGCCAAAGGGTTTGCTCAGCGCTGTACAATAGAGGGGGGGGGGGGGACAATACATGAAAAATTACAGCACCTACAAAACAGCACACAAGGGGTTAGAGGGCCCTACTCTTTCGAGCTTACAATCTAGGAGGGATGGGGGGGTAGTGGTACAGGAGGAAGTGGCTGTGGGGGATGGAGTGGTAGGAGGAATGAAGGAGAGCAGCAGTTAGGTGAGGGTGGGGTAGGCTTCCCTGAAGAGGTGGGTTTTCAGGGAGCGTCTGAAGGTGAGGAGGGAAGGTGACAGTCTGATGGATTGGGGTAGTGAGTTCCAGAGGATGGGGGAGGACCTGGAGAAGTCTTGCAGACGTGCGTGGGAGGAGGAGATCAGGGAGCAAGATAGAAGGAGGTCCTGTGAGGAGCGAAGGGTACGGGTAGGGTGGTACCTGGGAATCAGGTTGGTGAGGTAGTTAGGGGCAGTGTTGTGAAGGGCTTTGTAGGTCAGAGTGATAGTATATAGATCTTTAGATTACTAGAGGGGTCACCAGCTGGAAGGAGGAGGTTCCAGTTCCTCTATATAGACCTTTATATAACTACAGGGGTCACCGGCAGGAGGAAGGAGGTCCTGATTCTTCTATATAGACCTTTATATAGCTAGAGGGGTCACCAGCAGCAGGAAGAAGGTCCTAATTCCTCTATACAGATCTTTATATCAATAGAGGGGTCACCGGCAGGAGGAGGAAGCGTCCGGGCTGGAAGGGAGTGAAAGTGTCCGGACCGGAAGGGGGATAAAGTGTTAGGACTGGAAGGGGGTGAAAGTGTCCGGACTGGAAGGGGGTGAAAGTGTCCGGACTGGAAGGGGTGAAAGTGTCCGGACTGGAAGGGGGGGGGGGAAAGTGTCCGGACCGGAAGGGGGTGAAAGTGTCCGGACCGGAAGGGGGATAAAGTGTTCGGACCGGAAGGGGGTGAAAGTGTCCGGACCGGAAGGGGGATAAAGTGTTAGGACCGGAAGGGGGTGAAAGTGTCCGGACTGGAAGGGGGGTGAAAGTGTCCGGACTGGAAGGCGGGGAAGTGTCCGGACTGGAAGGGGGTGAAAGTGTCCGGACCGGAAGGGGGTGAAAGTGTCCGGACCGGAAGGGGGATAAAGTGTCCGGACCGGAAGGGGTGAAAGTGTCCGGACCGGAAGGGGTGAAAGTGTCCGGACTGGAAGGGGTGAAAGTGTCCGGACTGGAAGGGGTGAAAGTGTCCGGACTGGAAGGGGGGGGGGAAGTGTCCGGACCGGAAGGGGGTGAAAGTGTCCGGACCGGAAGGGGGATAAAGTGTTCGGACCGGAAGGGGGTGAAAGTGTCCTGGAAGGGACTGGAAGTGGGGATAAAGTGTTCGGACCGGAAGGGGGTGAAAGTGTCCGGACCGGAAGGGGGTGAAAGTGTCCGGACCGGAAGGGGGATAAAGTGTTAGGACCGGAAGGGGGTGAAAGTGTCCGGACTGGAAGGGGGTGAAAGTGTCCGGACTGGAAGGCGGGGAAGTGTCCGGACTGGAAGGGGGTGAAAGTGTCCGGACCGGAAGGGGGTGAAAGTGTCCGGACCGGAAGGGGGATAAAGTGTCCGGACCGGAAGGGGTGAAAGTGTCCGGACTGGGAGGGGGTGAAAGTGTCCGGACTGGAAGGGGTGAAAGTGTCCGGACTGGAAGGGGGGGGGAAAGTGTCCGGACCGGAAGGGGGTGAAAGTGTCCGGACTGGAAGGGGGATAAAGTGTTAGGACCGGAAGGGGGTGAAAGTGTCCGGACTGGAAGGGGGTGAAAGTGTCCGGACTGGAAGGCGGGGAAGTGTCCGGACTGGAAGGGGGTGAAAGTGTCCGGACCGGAAGGGGGTGAAAGTGTCCGGACCGGAAGGGGGATAAAGTGTCCGGACCGGAAGGGGGATAAAGTGTCCGGACCGGAAGGGGGGGTGTCCGGAAAGTGTCCGGACCGGAAGGGGGTGAAAGTGTCCGGACCGGAAGGGGGTGAAAGTGTCCGGACCGGAAGGGGGTGAAAGTGTCCGGACCGGAAGGGGGGTGAAAGTGTCCGGACCGGAAGGGGGTGACAGTGTCCGGACCGGAAGGGGGTGAAAGTGTCCGGACCGAAGGGGGTGAAAGTGTTCGGACTGGAAGGGGGTGAAAGTGTCCGGACTGGAAGGGGGTGAAAGTGTCCGGACTGGAAGGGGTTAAAGGCGCAGTGCCATGAGGGGAGCACACAGCTGGTCTGGAACAATACACAGCAATGGAAACAGTATATGAGCGATATGTACATAAATATTCCATTTTTATTGCCATACACTACTAATATTACTATTATTTTGTATTGTTAATATAATATTGTGTATATACTCTCATGTAATACCGGTGACACCACTTCCTCAGCTGCGCTCCAAGCTGGCTGTAGGTCTCTTCCTGTACAGACACCACTGGATCGGCTACGCAGCACCATTACTGTACAGGACAGACCTCCATTGTGCCTT